GTTTTCCTCTGAAATACAGTGTCTCTTCTTCCTTTCTGTGTTTTTCTATTTTATCTTTTCACGCATTATGCTGTGCATCTTTTTGTATTTTCCTCTGAAATACAGTGTCTCTTCTTCCTTTCTGTGTTTTTCTATTTTATCTTTTCACGCATTATGCTGTGCATCTTTTTTGTATTTTCCTTTCAAATACAGCATCTCTGCTTCTTTTCTGTTTTCCTCTAATACAGTTGTTCGTTTGTTTTCCTCTCGTGTTTCTTCTGCCTATGTTTGTCTGGGTTTGATATTTTTCTTCTGTGTACCCTCTTCTCCCTTTCACTTGTTTAAACATTCTTTTGTGTGTGTGTGTGATTATTCATATCTCAGTTTATGCCTTTCATACAGCGTTTATTGTGTCACCAGATCTATTTGTTATTGAGTACAGTTTTGGTTTTACTTTAACTTATAGTTTTTCTCTTCCTTGTATATCTTTCTATATTTACCTGTTTCTGTTCTGTATAATCTTAATACTGTTTCTCTTTTATGTATGTTTTTGTATAATGTAAATATCGTACTATTATTATTTTTAATATGTATCTTTATATATATATATGTATTGTATAGATTTTTTATAATTCTCATTATTTTCTATTTACATCTTTCCAGGTTTTCTTTATTGTCATAATTTATTTTGTAGAAACAGTTTTTCTTGTTCGTCTTAATACGTTTCTCTTCTGCATACAGTTTTCTTTCTCTCTCTCCTTAACGTATATTTAATTGTTTTCTTTTGTATCAATATTTCATTTTCACTTTCTGTGTTCATCTTCTTTTTTATACAAATCTCTCTCAGTTATTGTTAACTTTATATTTATCTGTTTTTTGGTGTGTGTTATTTTATGAATTATGTTTTTAATGATCAAAAGAAGGAACTTGGTACTATTAATTCGAAGTTCATGTAACGGAAATTATTACTAAAGTACAGTTTGATGAAGCAAGCTTGTTTGTTCCTTAATAAGGGACAAAAGGACTAACCGCCTACACGTGTAGTGTGATAATGACAGTTTGTTAACACGTCATAAAGGTTCGCGCCTACTCTCGTTCCGAGAGTGTCTCTTTCTTATAGAACACTGTTCTAATGCAGTGTGCGTAACTTCTTTATACTGTCCATGTATAAAATAAAGTATTCCAGTTGGTGCATGGACATTTCAGAAGTCTCTTCAAAACGACAATGCTTAGAAGTTATTTTTGATGTAAATGTAATATTTACATTCTTGCAGAGTATGTACATTTTTATCAATCCTTTATTTGCGACTTAAATATGGAGTTATTATAAGTTTTAACATAGTTTAAAAAAAATTACAAAACTTATTGTTACAGTAAACTTAAATGTCAGTTGCCTCTAGAAACAGCCCTCGTTAAGAAATCAGGTTTCAAACAATAACTTATAAGAAAAAAATATGTAGTTTGTTAGATATGAAATATACGTGAAATAAACACTGTCCCATAATGTATATGTTGCCCGAAACGTTGTTTTCGTGTTTAACAATAATATTATTTTAATTTCGCGAGTTTTTCACCATTAACATATTTTCTATTTTGCATTTCATAATATATTTTAGTTTAATTTTGCTTGTTTGTAATTAAGTACAAAGCTACACAATGGGCTGTGTTGTACTCACCACGGGTATCGAAACCCGATTTTTAGCGTTATAATTCCGCAGACATGCCGCTGAGGCTCTGGGGCAATATTACTTTCCGAAAATAATACTTTTGACGAATTAGTTTAATAACAAATAAAAATAAATAAGTAAATTGTTTCTCTGTTTAACAAGATAAACCCAGTTAACTGAATTCCATTAATTGGTTTTGTTTGCTTATCTCTTTACAAACATAGTTAAACAAATAAAGCATAGAAAAAATTAAAAGTGTTCTAGCTAAAGAAAAACAGGCAGGCAAGAAGCGAAAACACTCCTGTTGAAGAAGCCTAATATATATATATAGGTTATATAGGAGTTTTTGGGTTTTTTGTTATGTATATATATATATATATAAAAGCTTTGATGCAAGTTGCTGGTTGAACTAATATAAGGAACGCACTTTTTAGTATGTGTTTGTTATTCAACATTTTTGTGATTTCTAGTTTGAAATTACTGAAAATTATCAGTTGTTGTTGTTTTTGTTTGTTTGTTTTTTTGACGGGGGGGGGATCTAAAGCTTTATGTTTTTCTTACAGAATTTAAAATATACAATTTAATGGCTTAACACTTTTAAACACGGCAGATATCAGCTTAATATAGGAGAAAAGGTTCAGTGGAGAAACAGTATGAGTCATTCGTATATGAAAAGTAAAATTCAAATAAGCACAGTTTGAGTTTTTTTTTAACTTGCCTTCGTAAAGGCTTATATGTATCTTATGTTTGATTTATACCACGTCGTGGTGTGTTTAACAACTTTCATATTTTATTTTTATGTTCACATTCATACACTCTTGTTTACTGTGTGTCACCTTCATGTTTCTGCACTTTTCTTTGTTGTGACTCATCCTTTTGTTATCCTACGTCCGTTTACTCTATTTCACCATTTTCACATTTTCTTACCTATTTCCGTGTTATGCCGTGATATGTTGTTTTGTTTGGTCTGTATTCACTGAGGTAGGTCGATTTGTTTCATCAAATGGTGACACAGTATGATCTATTTTAAGCGATACAACCACATCTGTATGTTAATTAAACTTTACTAAGCCTTTAGGCCTATTTGCGGGAACGTTCCATCTGTTAATATTTCATGAACTTAGGAAATGAGCTAGGTTATAAAAACAGACTTGAAAAGAAAAAAAGAAATTTGAGTAAGCTGTGAGGTTAGATAGCATGTTAGCTAAAAATGTTCGAGAAGTTTTGTCATCCGTAAAATTCGCAAATTATATGAAAGAGGCGTAAGATTATCATTGGTTGCGAGCTCAAGTAGGCCTAAGTTTAATAACAATCTGATCAAGAACTTACGTGGGCGCGGGTTACCACGTGATAGAGTTTTGGATTTCGGAGCTGTCGAGCCGGGTTCAAATCCGCGCGATACCACAAAATATTCCTCCTACTTTCAACTGTGGGTTCGTTATAAGAGTGACAGATAATCACATAATATGGACTGTCGTTTGTAGGGTGCTGCTGACTGGATGTCTTCCCTCTAGTCAGTAGTTCAAAGTTATGACTGCATTTCTGTAGGTGTGTTTGGTACTCATTGTTCCAGGTGGACATGGCATATATCTATTTTCATTTACTGCATTTCTGTAGGTGTGTTTGGTACTTATTGTTCCAGATGGACATGACATATGTCTAACTCAATTTACTGCATTTCTGTAGGTGTGTTTGGTACTTATTGTTCCAGGTGGACATGGCATATGTCTAATTTCATTTACTGCATTCTGTAGATGTGTTTGGTACCTATTGTTCCAGATGGACATGGCATATGTCTAACTCTCAATTTACTGCACTTCTTGTGTGTGCTATTCACTGTTACATTTTTTTTGTTTTTGTTTTATATATGTTTCGTTCTTTTCTTGTTACTTTACGTTTGTTTGAGGTATTATTTCCTGTTTTTTTATTTTTTTATTGCTACAAAAATATTAATTAAATATATATTGTGCTAAAGCTAATTATCTACATAAGCGCTATAACAGCTTCATTTGTATTTGTTGTTTAACTAGAGCATGTTAATTGCCTCTTAGCTTTTCAGACTGATCTAGTTTTCGATAAATTTACGTGAATATACTTAAGGTGTACGTTCCAGAGGATTCTGCTAAACAATAAAATATCATTATTTATAGAAATAATTCTTTCTACATTTAACATAAACAATTATTATTTACTTTTAATATTCCCACGCAAAAACCAACAACAAAAAACTCGGACTGTTATTACTACATTCTGATTTTTAATGTGACTTGTGTTTTGCAACTGTGAATATTTATTACTTTAAACTTGTGAAATATATGTAGAACTTCTGTCTCGCACATTTTGGCTAGTAATTCACAAAAGCTATGAAGCTTTAACGATTAAATTTCCCTTGTTATATACGAGTAAAGTGTAACAATTTGGGAATGACCTCTCTGACCTCATAACTATGTGTCTGGTTTTATAAAACTGACTGAGAGTTCCATAAGTATAAGGTATCATCATGATCAGTATAGTTAACAGAAGCTTTCGTACGTTAATGCTAAACCTTCGATGTTGTGTGGTGTGTGTATATATATAGCCGAAGTTTCCACATCTAGTTAGCCACCGCGATGAAGTTACTTACGGATATAGTTTTTCAACAAACTATTACCAATATGCTTAATATAACGTTATTATGCTGGTTCAACCATTTCCAGTTGGCCGTAAGTAACTTTATATAGTTTTTCAACAAACTAACTGGTAACCAACTGGAAATGGTTCAACCAGCATAATAACGTTATATTAAGCATAAAGACTAACCAGGCACATTATGAATAAGTATGACAGTCGAATCTGCCTTGGCACAAAGTTTAAAATTCTAATATAAAACTATGATAACAATTGAGACGTTTGAATAACAAAAAACAATAATCCTTCTTCCTAACCACATTTTTAACAACTGAGATAATTGACTTAACCAGATAAAAAAAATCTTGTAACCAAAATGTCAGCTTAGAATTATTAACGCATCCAGCTAAAAACACAAGATTTTTCCATGTAGTAGTGGAATAACAAATGGGATGATTAATTTGATCAAATATCAAAGAAAAATAACAGACGCAACGTTACAAGCGCCAGAACAGTATCTATAACGTTTGTATATTATGTAATGTTGTTATTTGAAGTCCCGTCTGTTTATGGACTTCGGCACTTGCCGACATCTCTAGATTCTCATCCTTCTCGACATATTAGTTATACTGCATGGTGTAATTGAGCATTTTGGAGTGGTCAAAGTTACTCGTAGTGTCTCAGCTTACAGTTGGATCATATAATAAATTCGTAAGTATCAAATAATGCCTACTTTCATATCTTATGCCGTTCGATCAACATGGATCTCTCTGTGATCATACCTCCTGTGGTCAGATACCAGTTCCGTTACCGGTAAGTTGAAGCACTTGTTGTAATTCTTTTAGGTTTGTAGAGCCTGCGTTTACCAGAGAAATATAAATATAAAAATAATGTATTAAAAACTTTGATAAAATATGCACTTCACTCATCGCGTTTTCTCGTATCGCAGTGGTGTGCCTTCGTACCAGAATTTCAGAAGTCATGTGTCAATAACGCGTGCGCACAACTGCATCAGTGTGTTGTTTTCATACATAATTTAAAGTCTTAAACAATATAGATTGGATCAATATGTATCGCCTAATTAGAAGAGGTGCTAATTAGAAGACGTGGAAAAAACAACAACACAGAACAGAGTATTTACTTCTAGGAGTATTTGGTACATTATCGTTGGATATGTCATCACGATAAAGAAGCTACGATTATTAGGTACATTATAGTTGGATATGTCATCACGATAAAGAAGCTACGAGTATTAGGTACATTATAGTTGGATATGTCATCACGATAAAGAAGCTACGAGTATTAGGTACATTATAGTTGGATATGTCATCACGATAAAGAAGCTACGAGTATTAGGTACATTATAGTTGGATATGTCATCACGATAAAGAAGCTACGAGTATTAGGTACATTATAGTTGGATATGTCATTACGATAAAGAAGCTAGGAGTATTAGGTACATTATAGTTGGATATGTCGTCACGATAAACAAGCTACGAGTATTAGGTACATTATAGTTGGATATGTCATTACGATAAAGA